CAGGCATGTGCCACCACGCCCAGCTAGCAAAATGTTCAGAGTTAAATAGGTCTAGGAGGGAGGTAGACACTTTCTTGTATGTTAGAATTTTTTTAAAAGTCAAACATTAAACACAAAAAGATACAAATCGACAATCAGTTGCTCAATTAATTAATGAGGGACTGTTTGCCCCAACATCCCTTGGCTGCTGCTAGAGAGGAGATGGCATTCTGTCTGCAAGCACTAGGGGAAGAAAGGCAAACATAGGAAAGTCCTCCTATCTTTTTTGTGATACACTGCAAGGTAGAGTTGTGTTGTAGCAATGTAATTCAACAGAAGAAGGTATGTGAATGTCTACACTGCAGATTCTATGAATGCCAAAAGAGCTTACTTTTTTTTTCCTTTACCATCACACCTAAAAGATCTCATTCAACGGAACCAGGATTCCATGCTAGCCACTTCCTGGAAAACTGATGATCCGCTTACCTGAGTGGTCCAAGTATCTGAAAGCAGCAGATTAGTGGGCTTTTATAAAGTCCTTTCTGAGCAGGAGACAATTTTTATGTTAAGGAAGGTAACTTAGGATTTATAGGTACCAATCTGTATGGTCAACATACATTCCTTTCTGTGAACAACTGATTCACTTATTTTACAATTTCTTTTTCTTAATTGTTATACTTTAAGTACTGGGACACATGTACAGAACATGCAGGTTTGTTACATAGGTATACATGTGCCATGGTGGTTTGCTGCACCCATCAACCGGTCATCTAGGTTTTAAGTCCCTATTTTATGATAATTTCTGTATAACCTACTAGTCTGGACCTGAGACAGCTGGAGCTAACGTTCTGTTCTCTGACAACACACATATGTTGTGGGAGGCTGAGAACAAGTACTGGGCACAGTCAGGATGGAAGAGAGGATGGTCTGCCTACTGCTGAAAGGTCTGAATATTGGGAGGATGTATTCCAGAGTTAAAGAAAGGCCAGCATAGTGGTTGCCTTTGGGGTTAATTGTGCCCTTCCTCCTCCATTAACTAGACAGAGAAAGGGGAACTACATTTAGGGTACTCATTTCTGTTGCCCCCGCCCATCCACCCACCTATCTAAAAGAGCAAGGTAGGGAGAGGCCTACAGTAGAGAAAGAGAAAGACTCATGGCCTTGTGTCAGCCTGCAAAGATTGCTCAGAAGAATGGAGCTGAGTGCTCTGGGGCAGTTTCTCTTTCCTTTTCTGCCCAGGGAATTGACAGAGTAAAGGACTCCTACCACTCCTAGAAGTGAGCGGCAGCAGGAAACATGCAATGGCATAGCCATGGCCATCGGGGTAAGTTGGCAGCAGAAAAGCACAGAGTTGCCTTTTGGGTTGACCATGACAACAGCCCAGCTGCAGGGACGTTGTATTCCTTGGTGTTACATGACTTGAGGCTGGCCTCAGAAACAGGCCAAGGAAGCAAAGAATGCAGCAATGGCAGAGAGTACAAGTGTGAGGGAGCGGGGCTGTCCATGTCAGCCAGAGCTCATGGAAGGGGAGACTCCGATTCCAGAGTGTGAAGGAAGAGATGGCCTGGTCCTCTATTGGCCCTTGTAGATTAGGCTCCTGCCGCTGGTTATGGAGAAGCTACCACTTCCTGTTCATCACTGAGTTGATGATGACAGGATGGGAGCAGTGGATGTTGACTTGTAACCTACTTTGACGTTTCCCTCACTGCTTGAATTCGTGCTTCACATCTGTGTTGCTCTCTGTTGTGCCTTAGTCACATCCGTCATGTCTGAGAGAGCATGCAGGTACTGTCCCCCACGCAGTACCCAAAGTAGTCTTTTTTAAATGTAAGTCAGAGCATGTCACCCCTGGCTCCAAACCTCCTATGGCATCTCATTTCATCTGGAGCAAAATGCAAAGTCTTCACAATGACCTTCAAGGCTCTGTGCAGTATGGGACCCCACCACCACCCACAATGTCCCGTGACCCCAGCTTCCTTTACTGTCCCCTGCATCTCTGCTGGGTCACCCAGGGACACTCCTGCATAAAGTGTTCTTCCCCTGATATCTGGGCTTCCATGCTTTCTCCAAGTCTCAGCTCCACAATTAACCTTCTCTTTACTGACCACGACGACTCTATATAAAATTGCAAACCCTCACCCCCAGCCCCCATGCCACACACGCCTATCCCCCTCCCAGCTTGACTTTCTTCTTTCCCCATCATCTGTACTGCCACCTGACATTCAGCATGCTTCAGTCACTTGTTTAATATCTGTCTCTCCTCCCCCACCCTCCTAGATTGTAAGTCCTATAATGTAGGGACGTCTGTCTGTTCTGGTCATTCCTGGTATGTCCAGGGAGTATAACCTGACACGCAGAAAATGCTCAATAAAGATTTATTGAGTCGATGGAGTAACAGAAAGATTTACAGCAAACTCGCAAGATGGAACAAAATATTATTTTATCTCTTAAATCACCTCCTAATGGGCATTTGGGAGTGCTTCCTCTTCTTTGGGCTCCCTTTTCTTCCTACTCTCACCATCTGCCCACCCACCTGATTTTCTCTACCCGCTCCCTCCCTCCAGGGTTCCTGCTGTATCTTGGGTGAAGGGATTCGGTCTTCCAGGCCTCACCCAATTCTTCAGAGCAAAGCTTCCCCAAAGCAAACAGATCTTTGTCTCACCAGCACTGACCACCTCTTGAGGTTTAACATCAATGTGTGACTATGCTGTTAACCTTCTGTTTCCACACTCCATTGCATCAAAGACCACTTTCCAGAAAGAAATAATGGGGGAAAAGACAAATTGGAAGAAGGAAGGAAGGTTTATCTGGCAACATCTTTATAGCACACAGAGAGGCAGCTGTACTAGATAGCAAAGTGGTTACCTGTCTTGGATCTCATGAGCAAAGTGTCACTAGAATGGGGACTTTCTTCTTTTTAGAGAGAGTCTCACTCTGTCACCCAGGCCGGAGTACAGTGGCCCGATCTTGGCTCACTGCAAGCTCCGCCTCCAAGGTTCTAGCAATTCTCCTGTTTCAGCCTCCTGAGTAGCTGAGACTACAGGTGTGCACCACCACACCCCACTGATTTTTTTTTTTTTTTAAAGTAGAGACAGGATTTTCCAGGCTGGCTAGGGTGGTCTCGAACTCTTGACCTCAAGTGATCTGCCCACCTAGGTCTCCCAAAGTGCTGGGATTACAGGCATGAGCCACCGCACCCAACCTAGAATAGGTACCTTATAATGTGTTTAATAGTTTTAATAACATTGAGATCTAGTACACATGACATGCCTACACATATTTATGTTTCTGAAACAGAAGATTCATGAAGCAACAACTATCATATTTTGGAGTGTTGTACTCTGACATTTTCCATTCTATTCCATTTCACTTAAGAAATGTCAGTCTTGATATTTCAGTTCATTTCATAACCCAGTGGGTCATAGCCCTCAGCATACCCTCTGACCTAAATGCCCTTGAACTAGAATATCATGTGCACTTTTGTAGCCTGTCAGGTAAATGTGAAATAATGAGTCATTGCACGTTGACCCTTTCCTGCTTCATGAACGCAAGTGTGGTTGGAAGAAGCAATAAGATGTAAGTATGGATGTACTTTTTCAGAACTTTAATATCTTGGAGAGAAATGGTACACCACATATTATGAGATAATATTAGTAGAATAAGTTAAAATGACTGTGGTACCAGGTAAAATATTAAATCTATTAAATATTTATATATCCCTTTAACATATGGGGAGTTTCCAAAGCTCACTCTTGCTTGTGACTGTGTTACTGGATGACTTTCACACTGAGTGAATTTACTGAGTGCACTCCCTCTCTCTCCCCCTTACACACACTCATCCTTTCATGCACACACACACACACTCACTCACTCACATGCACAGGCTTCATCTACTCTGACTTTCCGAAGTCAGGCACTGCCTTGGAGTATTACCTGACGTGACTCTTTGTAAACTAAATACCGATCACTGAAAGAGTGAATGATCCACTGAAAAAGTGGTTTTAACTACTGAAAAAATGTTCCAGAGCTGAAGAGCATACAGCAAGTATACAAATATTATTTGAGATTGTGAAAGCAGAGTAAAGCAGGTAGTTTCCAAAGCTGCAGCTTGGCTGGAGTGGGGTTTTTATGGAGGGCCTTTCTGATCCTCAAACCATCGCATCATTTTAATCTACTGGCTCCAACCATCCATATATCAATGTGTGAAGGAAGTAGGACAGACGTTGTGATTCTCACAATGCAAATGCAGAAAGTGAGCCTCAGAGGTGTTAAACTGGGTGAAATGTCCCTGTTTCCCATTTCCAATTGCAGGAAAGTATCTAGCCCTGGCACTGTATGCCTGATGACATTGATTACACCATTATTTGTGGTGTGCCAAGGGACTGGAAAGAACATAGGGTCAATCAGGAGGGAAATGGTTGAACAAATATTATATACTCATACTATGAAATACCATGCTGCTATTTAAAATAATGGCTTAGAGCTAAACTCAGAAAAGCAAGTTAGAGAAAAATATATATAATACAATTCAATTTTTTACTTAAAAAAGGAAAGATTGTATTTAGGTAATATTACTTGTAGGGGTTCATGGAAGATTAGTGAAAGATAGATATATACTAAATCATTAGTATTACCTATTTGAAGAGAAATAGGCTATAGGGATGGTCAAAGGAGATGGAAGAGTGAATAATTAGCTTTTTTGTTGTATAATTTCATTTGTTTCAAAAAGTAATGTTTTTGCAATTTAAAAAATCTGACAAAGACTATGTAAAACAATAAAATAAGATTCTTTCTTCTAGTTCTATTATTAAGTGAAGTAACCTCCCAAGATTACCTTAATTGAAAGGGGCAGCATTAGTGTTTGTTTTTGACCCCAAAACCATGGCCTTTCCTTAGCGCTACAGCTGTCTCTTCTGTATCAAGTCTGTGTAAAACTTCGCACCCTTGAAACTAGCATTGGGTGAACACACACAGAAAAGAGCAGAATAATGTCACATAAGAAAACACAGCCCAAATTATTATTGTTGTTAGCACAGTGTTTAATGCAAATTTAAGCATGTGAATCAGGTATCACAATAGCTGTTGAAGAAATGTAATGCTGACAGTATTTGGCAATAAAATAATAATCACTGTGTATATTTCTGATGAAATGAGATTTAATACATTTGAGCTCCTAATTGTCTGCCACACTACATTAGAGATGGATACAACTATTGTCTCCACTGCTCAGAAATATGAAATTCAAAGCAATATGCACAGTGTCTTGAAATAAGCTAGCTTAATGAACCAGCAAATTAGACCTTTCTATCTCTTTATTTAACAACCAGTTCCATGAATGTATCAGAGTTCATTACAAAAGGGCAAAATTTAAAGAAATGCTGCTAAATTCATTTATGATTAGAACTAATGGCTTTGAAAAGACTCCTCATATTTTTAGAGAAAGCCATTATTTATTATTGAATTTATATGGCTTTGGGTAATAAACATTCAATCTTTTCTCACTTACATCTGTTATTTATAATTTGGATTTTGTAAAACAGCCACACACACAAAATCTCCCATAAAGAAATCAACTTTCCCCCGCTAAACTTGGCAATGACATTCAGAAAATACAATGGCAAAACTTTCTTCTTGATTTGTGTCAATGGTTCTCAGTGGGGGTGAGGAGGATTTTGGCAATGTCTGGATACATTTTTGGTTGTCACAGCTAGTGGGAGAGGGAAGGACACTGCTACTTGCATCTGGTGGGTGGAGGCCAAGGATGCTGCTAAACATCCTGCAATGCACAGAACAGACACCCACAACAAAGAATTATTCAGCCAAAATGTGAATAGTGCTGAGACTGAGAAACCCTGAGCTGTGTGTATGTGTCTCATTTAAAGAATGCTCCATTTCATTCAACGTCTTCTAAAATGAGATCACTCTCCATCCTGTCACGTAGGCTTAGAGCGAGACCAAGGGAAGGAATGGATCTGGCTCAGATGATTTTTTTCCCCCAAATCGTTATAGTAATAATGACTTCAGCATCTGCAATAAAGATGATAGAGTTTCATGATAATATAGATGACTTAAGTTTGTTCAATCATTTACATTATCTTCCAGGAGATACCTTTCCCATTTGAAATTAAAAGCATCTGATTACCTAATACTTTTCAATATGTTAGCATATTGGTTGAACATATTTAAAATAAATCTGTTCGGGACTCCAATTTAGACGAGAAGAGTCAGTAGCCAGCAGATCTATGGCCAGAGTCAAGAATGCAGGCAAACAATGGGAAGATCAAAAGGTCTGATTCAGCCTGGACATGGTGGCACACACTTATAATCCCAGCATTTTGGGAGGCAGAGGTGGGAGGATTGCTTGAGGCCAGGAGCTTCAGACTAACCTGGGCAAAATAGTAAGACCTTGTCTTTACAAAACAAACAAACAAACCACACTTCGATTTTTATTTTAGATTGGGGGAACATGTGCAGGTTTTTCTTTATCTCCCATAAAGAAATCAACTTTCCCCCGCTAAACTTGGCAAGGGTATATTGGGTGATGCTGAGATTTGGGCTTCAATTGGTCCCATCACCCAGCATAGTACCCAATAGGAAGTTTTTCAGCCTTTGTCCCCTCACTCACTACTCCCTCCCTCCTTTTGGAGTCCCCAGCATCCACTGTTCCCATTTTTATGTCTATGTGTACTCAAGGATTAGCTCCCATTTATAAGTGAGAAGATGCAATATTTGGTTTTCTGTTTCTGCATTAATTCACTTAGGATAATGACCTCCAGTTGCATCCACATTACTGCAAAGGATGTGATTTTGTTCTTTTCTATGACTATGTAGTACTCCATTAGTGTATATGTACTACATTTTTAAAATTCAATCCACCATTGATGGACAGCTAGGTTCATTCCATGTATTTGCTATTGTGAATATCGCTGCAACAAACATACAAGTACAGGTGTCTTTGGTAGAACAATTTGTTTTCCTTTGGGCATATACCCAGTAATGGGATTGCTGGGTCGAATGGTAGCTCTCTTTTTAGTTCTTTGAGAAATCTCCAAACTACTCTTCACAGTGGCTGAACTAATTGCAATTTTCTTTAAAAATAGCCTGGCCTGGTGGCATGTGCCTATTGCCCCTGCTATTCATGAGTCCCAGCTCAAGCCTAAGAGTTCAAGGTTACAGTGAGCTATGATCTTACCACTGCACTCCAGTCTGGGTGACAGACTGAGACCAAGTCTCTTTAAAAAAATCTGATTCACTTTAGCTCAGAATTGCTTGGAACATTATTTACAGTCTGTTTCAAGGTAGAAATTGCACACTTTTGATAGGAATCAGTTTAATTCGAATATGGTAGAATTTCTCTTTTGGCATTCTAGACGTAGGCTAGCTTTTTCTCTAATCTGTCTATCATATGCATGCATGGGGAAACTGGTTAATTTGATATAATTTAACCTGACACTTGTAGTTCCCCTATGATAACAATGATCAAACTTTGTATCTAGGCCTTATTTAAATAAAGTCTAATTATTATGAAATAGCCCAGTGAGGAAAAATAAAAGACTGAAATTCTTTTCATCCAAAAGAAAATAATGATCAAGTATCGGCGGGGTGCAGTGGCTCACCCCTGTAATCCCAGCACTTTGGGAGACCGAGGTGGGCGGATCACAAGGTCAGGAGTTCGAGACCAGCCTGGCCAATATGGTGAAACCCTGTCTCTACCCTGTCTCTACTAAAAATACAAAAATTAGCTGGGCGTGGTGGCACGTGCCTGTAAGCCCAGCTATTTGGGAGGCTGAGGCAGGAGAATCACTTGAACCCTGGAGGCAGAGGTTGCAGTGAGCCAAGATCGTGCCACTGCACTCCAGCCTGGGCGACAGAGTGAGACTCTCCATCTCAAATATAATAATAATGATAATAATAAAATAAAATCAAGTATCAAAAATTAAAACATTCGAATCCTAATTTGTTAAACTGCTAGGGAACTAGGGTGTCCTGAAGTAAACCTGGTTAAATATAAAACATGTTCTTATATCCTTCTATCTCATTAAGTAGAATAAATATAATTGAAACATTCATGACTTAAGGATTGTATAATGGTGGATTTCCTTCGGGAAATATTTTAGTGGTTATATGTTTATTGCCATATATTTTTAGGAAAATAAATGTTACTAACACATCAAATACATGATTTCACCAATATTACTGCTCTTGGAAATAATGAAATAGATCTTGGTGCTAAGCTCAACTTGATTTAAAGACAAATATTAGTGATGGTACGGGTGGTACTCAGATGTAGCAAAAATTGTGACTGGTATCCAAGTGAATGGAATCCTGTGGCAGTACTTCAGAGTCATCATTCTGAACATTTTTATTGTATAGCCCTGGGGTGAAAAAAGTGAAAAGGATGAAGGTTAAATGACCTCAGTGTATGTCTTTACACTTTTGGTTTTTACAATTAAGAACAGTTAACATTTATGGGTGCTTGTGGTGCACCCAATAACGTTTACATAGTGCTTAGTACATGCCAGGTGTTGTAAGAATGTTACTTATTTACTGTTTTTAATTCGTTTAACCCCACAACAGCCTCATTTAATAGATTACAGCTAGTACATGGTGAGGCTGGGATTGGCACCCAGGCGTCAGCTTCTGGAGTCTGTGCTCTTTGACAACTCTGCAATAATGCATCTCTTGTGATAACAACAAGTACCGCACATATTATCTCATTGAATTCTCACTGTGCTCTTCTGCTGAGCTTCATTATCTCACTGAATACATGATGTCAATGGGGCAAGCCAATTCATTTCTCAGTAAGTTGTATGGCGGGAAAAGCTTTCAATTACCCAAGATTCTAAGTCAATTAAAACTAAAGTGGGGAGCGCACAAGAAGAACTACTAAAGTGTGAAAATCAAAAAGAATGTAGAATTTCAATTAACATTTATTTCATATCTCATCCTTTTCAAAATCCATTCTTTGTATATATGTTATAAAGCATTTATGCATCATTGCAATTGTACATTATGTAATTTATCTTTATATTTTTTATTTGAGATAGGGTCTTCCTGTGTCACCCAGGCTGGAGTGCAGTGGCATGATCTCAGCTCACTGCAACCTCTGACTCCTGAGTTCAAGCATTCCTCCCACCTCAGCCTCCTGGGTAGCTGGGACTACAGGCGTGCTCTACCATGCCCGGCCAATTTTTGTATTTTTAGTGGAGATGGGGTTTTGTCATGTTGGCCAGGCTGGTCTCAAACTCTTAACCTCAGGTGATCCACCCGCCTCAGCTTCCCAAAGTGCTGGGATTACAGGTGTGAGCCATCGCACCTGGCCCATTATGTAATTTATAAATACATATACAAATATTGGGAATGCATGATCAAAAATTTTATACTGATGGAATGTTTGCACTTAATATATATTTTATAATAACTCCAGGTTTTCTCCCTGCCTGGGCCATTTCCATGACATGAGCAAGTCAACTTGGAAACTTATATTATCTCCTTAAAACCTGTATCCACACTTAAATGAAGTATGCATGACTTCATTCCCTATGCCATCCAAATTCATTCCCACAGCACATTGTCACTAATTGCCTGGGAGTATTTCAGACACACAAAGTATATCTTACCTTGAGACTTCATCTATGAGACAAAACCAAAAACAAAACAGCTAATTGATTCAGAAAAAATATCTCATTGTCTGAAGGAATCCAAGAGGTTGAATGAATTAGTTGTTAGGATATCCATTGTGCTAGGCACAGCAGGTACCACACGTCTGGGCTCTGTCCTGATGGAGCTGACAGTTTATTGTGGCAGTAGGGAGCACAAATCCCTGGCAGTATGACCTTGAGCAGGTGATTCACCCTCTCGGTGCTAAGTTTTCTCATTTTTGCAATGGGCATAATAACAGCACCTACCTCAAACGGTTGTGGTGAAGGAGATGGTGAATTAATATATAGAAAGTGTCTCACACAGTGCCTGGCATCCACAAAGCACTATATTCTCTGTTTCGTTGTTGTTTTTGTTTCTCATTGTCAAAGAAGGTGAACGAAGCACTAGATCCTTATCACTTTGTGTGATGATTAATGTCATGTGTCTGCTTCACTAGGCCACGGTACCCAGATATTTGCTCCACCCTTATTCTTGGTATTTCTGTGAAGGTATTTTTAAACAAGATTCACATTTAAATCAGTAGTCTTTGAGTCAAGCAGATTACCCTCAATAATGTGAGTGGCCTCACCCAGTAAGTTGTGTGGCCTCACCCAATAATAATAATGTGGCCTCACCCAATAAGTTGAAGGCCTTGAGAGAAAGGACTGATCTCCCCCACGGAGGAGGGGATTCTGCCAGCAGACTGTCTTCGTGGTTGAACTGCAATACCAACTCTTCCCTAAGGTCTCCAGCCTGCTGGACCACCCTGCAGATTTTGGATTTACCAGCCTCCACTATCTCATGAGCCAATGCTTTAAAATCTCAATCTCTCTCACTTTTTTATTTCTCTCTGTCATACACATCTATGTGCGTATATATGTGTGTATACTCATATAAGAGAGATATGTAACTCTGTATTCATCCATAAGTAAGAGTCACTGAAAGCTAAGAGTTTCTTACTGATACAGAGTAATACATCTCTCTTAAATGAACACACACACACACACACACACACACACAAGTGCGCGCAGGTATATATGTATACACATCCTACTGGCTCCATTTCCCTGGAGAAGTCTGACTAATACACTGAGGGATAATGGCAGCTAGCATTTATTGAGTCCATTCTACATACTGTTTAACACTTCAAATATGATCTTACTTATTCTTCAGAAAATCCCTATTACCAACCACCATTTTACAAAAAAGAAACCGAGTCTAAGAGAAGCCGGCGACTTTGCCCCAGATCATTTATGTGGCAGAGGCAGGATTACTCAAGTGCCTCCCTCACTTCTCCAGTACAAGTAAATGCTGTCATTGTTTGAGTATTCATTGAAAGGTTTTGAATGGAGTGATCTGTCTTCAGTATGCCCACAATGCCAGGTGATGTAGAAATATTTATGTGGCTATTTTAAAAACGCTTTCAGGCTATTGAGAGATACTAATTGCCAAACAAATTTTGCCTGCTTTTTTTTTCTCTTTCTTTTTTTGTTTTTTTGAGATAGGGTCTCTCGCTCTGTCACCCAGGCTGGAGGGCAGTGGCATGATCATTGCTCACTGCAGCCTCAACTTCCTTGGCATCAGCCTCCTGAATAGCTAGGACTACAAGCACGGAACCACACCTGGCAGTTTGTTTTTTTAAGTAGACACTCATGTTGCCTCACTATGTTGCCCAGGCTGATCTCGAACTCCGAGGCTCAAGCAATCCTTCCACTTTGGCCTTCCAAAATGCTAGGATTACAGGCATGAGCTACCACACCCAGCTGACCACTTCTAATTGTAATTCTTGCCTGGGCTGAACTGTTGAACTGTTTCAGCAAAGCTATTTGCAATACATCAGACAGAAGCTAAGTAGACAGCAAAGAACATGGAGACGACCCAATCCTCTGCTACAAGGGCTACCTGGCAGAAGGGAGCAATTTTAACATCTTGGAGTGAAATTAGCCAAGGTATCATGACCAACTGTGGTTTTTGAGGGAAATAAAATCTCTTTTGAGTTAGTTGAGAGAAACAGCTGTTTACCAATGGACTTTCAAGACCTCTCCTTCCTATCACTGTGCATATTATGAAATTAGCAAATCCCATCAGACTTCTTCCAGTAAATAACTGTGACTATTGAATGAAGCTTATCTGAGGGTTTGCCAAGCACATTTAAACCAGTCCGAGAACCATCGGGCAAACCCACATTAGCTAGCATTCACAATTTCCTTTTATGTGCAAAGCTGTTTCTAAAATTTAAGAGTTCAAAAGAGCTTTGAAGGAATATTTTTATAATCTGTGCCACTGGGTAACAGATTGAATTTAGCCTCAACTGGTGATATCTGTCTCCTTAATTATCAGCAATAACAACACTTTAAATTGATATGGTGCTTTTAATTTTGCAAAGAATGGTCAAGTTCATTTATCAACTCATCTACTTTGTTGTATTATGCTATAATTTTCAACTATTAGTCTAAGACAACAGGCTAAAATATGAAGAAAGATGGACTAAGGAGTGCTGTCAACGTCTTTTTTTCTTAAGCTGAATTTAGGTGATGATGACATGATCTAAAGATACTTTTGTTATCTGAGATAACTTATTTAGTCATCACAGACGTAAACTATATACTTGATAGTAAATGCGTAGAGAACACTTAATGTTGTCGTAAAAACTTTAATTCACAGGCACATTCTAAGTATAAATATGAAAACCAATGATTGGCAAATGACTGGAGAACTTTCTTTGCTGTTTATCTCTGTCTGCGAGTCTAGGAAACTGAGAGTTTGCTATACTATCAAATACCATGCTTCAAAAAATACTACAAAGGGGTTAAGAGCAAGCAAAGGGCTTGGCCTTGGCTTTTGAATGGTCCATGCTGTGTCTGGCTATAGAAGCATCTTTCTATAAAAAATATTCATATACTCACCATAATAGGAAAGTAATAATTATGTCGGCAAACCCTTCAGCTATAAAACTTGCTAAATGGTGTTTAAAACAGCAGGAGAGCATTTGTCTATACATTTTGTACTACTGTTTTGCATTGTATGGATTAGGATTATATGGCATATTTTAACATTATGTGACAAAGGAAGGCAACAACTCTGAAATATATGAGGTTGTAAAACTTATATTTAGATATTTCACTATATAAGGAGACAAGTTCGCAAAGTGAAATTAATAGAAGGGATGTGTTTGTGCAATTTTAGAAGGTAAATCAAAGTAAAGCTATTTGGTGTGGAATTCCCATTCAGGAATAAGTCATGAAAACAAATTAGTCAATGAAAAGTACACGTATACATAAAATACGTACTGGATTGTACTCTCATGTTTGAAAGTAGAAAGGCATTATCAAATAACTATAAATGGTATATTACTGCATCAGAATCAACTCTTATAGCAAGGGATGCTTATACCTGTTGCAAAAAAAATGCTGTCTGTGATTAGTCAAAGTTCACAATTTGTTTTGTCTCTGTCTATTGTATTTCCATAATTCTAGCTATACCTGTTCCAAATTTGGTGTTACACAGATCCAAGAAGCAATTTAGAAGTTTGTTCTCTTTCAATGTGCTCAGCAGAATCACTACTGTCATTGACTATTACCCCAAGAATGATGTTTCTGTCTCTTTCTCCACTGTATCTTCCATGAGCTCTCTATCTGAAATAGCAGAAGGGAAGACTTCTATTCTGGCAGCAGAAACCCAGCACCACAGCATTGCACAACTCCAGAGGCAATATTCACACTGTAGTTTATGTGAATTCCTAGTGTCATTTTTATAGACTACCATGTGAATGGTGCCCTTTGGAGTGCTGCAAATCCTCTGAAATTAATTTCACCTATTAAATTAACAAAAGCTTATAGGGTTATCTCAAGAACACAGGAGGTTTTCTCCAAAGTTGGCTTTCTCTCTTCACCTTTATAAGGCCAGACACTTCCATCTCAACCTTGGCTTTGCTTGGCCTCTCAGTGCAGGCACCAACAGGATTGATGGGATTTGGAAATCTAAATGGCCCAACGTTCGTCAGGCATCCACCCCATGGTCCAATTAGCTGTGGCCACAGAAGTGGTTTTGTGCCATCCGCTTAGTAAGAGACAGAATCTCTGAGAAGGGGTATGGATCAGGCAGGCAACTGGCTACTGAGCTGGCTGTGGTTACATAGATAACGCTGGATTTTTTCGGGAGAGCAAATACTCTCTAAAAATTTTCTCATTATACAGAAGTCATTGACTCTATGAGTACTTACCCTTTCCTAATAGTGAAACTGCCATCATCTGGCAGATTGTATTATTAATTCAAAAATATTTATTTTTTATTGTAAATAGATTGTATTATTTATTCAAAAATAAATAATAAATAATTATTTATTCAAAAATAAATAATAAATAATTATTTATTATTCAAAAATAAATAATAAATAATTATTTATTATTCAAAAATAAATAATTATTTATTATTCAAAAATAAATAATTTTTGAATAAACAATACAATCTACCAGATGATGGCAGTTTCACTATGAATCAATTATCCCTGTGAATCAATTATCATTTCCTGCCCCATGACTGCAAGTCAGGCCTGGACCTGGGACTTGAGGAAAGGCTAGTGAAATTGCTGTTACTTATCAGCAGACGCCTTAAGGGCCATCATCCTCTTTCCTTGCTGCTCTTCTCCCTCTGCTGTGATAGAAGCAATGTTAATATTTGAAGTAAATATCCTTGTGATGTCAGTTAGTGATATTATTTCATATTATTTCTGTCCCTGCCCCTCCACCCTGCCATCTTTTGTTCCTGTTTTTCCTCCCCTGCCTTCTTTGTGGTTATGTTGTAGAAACTCATGAATCTGTTATATTCTTACAAAGAATGTTGATGGTTTTGTTTTAGCAGGCAATTAACTTAAACAGACTCAAACTAGGAATTCTGTCTTGCGTTTGGCGGGCTGCAGCTCAGATCTCAATTCTGTTCTCTAAGCCTGACCTACAAGCTGCTTTGAGTCTGCCCCATGCACAGATCATTCAGGTGTCAGGAACTGGGGCAGTATTTACGCACAGAAGGCTTTTGAGGCTTCTCTGCCCTGGCTGTCATTTCTGGGATTCTCTCGTCACTTTCCAGCAGCAGTGGCTGCCCCAGAACCTTTGGTTCTTCAGGCCAGAAAGAGCAGATGTTCTAGTGGGTTTTGCCCATTCATGCTGTCTGCAACCCAATCTCAGACTGAAGTCATGAAAATGGGAAACTCACCCTCTGATAATCCCCCTTTCATATTTTGACTCCCTCCTAAAATCTGCCCGGTTTTGCTCGCTCTCCAGAGTATTTTGTTTGGAGTTCAGAGCTGTTGCCTGCAAACAGGCCAGGCTCTTAGAAATCTACTCTGTCATACTGACGTGAAATTCTAAAGCCAGTTCAGGCATATAATAACAAAAAATAAACTTCTGTGGTTGAAAGCCATTAAGACTTGGGGTTATATTTGTTTCTGCAGCCTAACTTACCCAAAACTGGAATGTTGCTTCTTAACCGTTTCACATCTATATTTGTGAAACCTTATTCAAGGACAAATGAATTTCCCTGAATGTTTCTGATGCTGTGAATTTTGCTTTTCTTCTTCCACTGTTAAGATACTTTAAGTGGTACCCTTTCCTTCTTAACTTCTGCTGAAATCATGAAGAAGACTGTTCCTTAACTTTTTAAGAAGATATTCTCTGTTCCATGTTTGCACATTCCATCCTTATCACTGAAACCACAGGGTTTACAGATCAGTATTCATCATCTAAAATGAATACACATCTACCATACTGTGCTACTGACAAAATTGGTCTTGGTAAATTATGAAACATTTTATTTAAAATATATGGTGAATTGATTTCTGCTAAAGCATGGTAACATAAAAAACCTGTAAAGAAGGGGTAAAAACAAATTAAGCAAAGGAAAGCATTTTTCTTGGGATTGTCATTTCAATGTTCACTTCTCTAGAAATGATTCCATAAAAAGCATGCCTTTCTTCATATAATATAACCAAGCAGGTCTCTGGCATAGATGTTAAGTATTATGATATTGCCTTTAATAAAATGCAAGATTCTAAATATGCAACCTTCAAAATTAGTGTAAAAACTCTACTTCTCTCTCTTAGTTGATTAAAATCATGAAAAAAGAAATACACACATATACATTTATATTAATATATTTTCCCCTAAGTTGATTACTTTCCAGTCTAGCATCTAATTGGTAACAAAAATCTCTTTATGAAAGTCTACAGGGGGGTTGTAGATTAGAAAAGCCTTTTTGAAATTCATGACAATCTTTTAGTATTATCAATTTCCACTTAACTTACCAGAAAGTCTGGGAGGCTGACGACGAGAGATGTCCTATAGTCATCTTCACAGCTTCCTCTTTTTTATTTGAACATTTATCTACAATTATTTTTGTAAATAGCCTGTAAATATATTTATATAGCTCAAATTATGATTTCTTTTTTTATTTATGTATTTTCTTCAGATTCTCTCTATCACTTATTCAACCAACATTTATTGAATGGCCACTTTGGGCCAAGCACGGTGGCTGCAGGAGTGAACAAGACACAGCTGCAACAGCCTTCATGGTTCTTCCTTTTTTTTTTTTTTTTTTTTCCAGGTGGAGTCTTGCTCTGTTGCCAGGCTAGAGTGCAGTGGTGTGATCTCAGCTCACTGCAACCTCCGCCTCCCAGGTTCAAGCCATTCTCCTGCCTCAACCTCCCAAGTAGCTGGGACTACAGGCCCGCACCACTACGCCCAGGTAATTTTTGTATTTTCAGTAGAGACAGGGTTTCACCATGTTGGCCAGGATGGTCTTGATCTCCTGATCTCATGATCCGCCTGCCTCAGCCTCCCAAAGTGCTGAGATTGGTTCTTCCTTCTCTAGGGGAGGCAGACAGCAACCATTGGCACAAATACAATCACTTCAAGTTGTCAAATATGCTATGCAGAAATGTAAAGCAGGAGAAGGGGTCAAAACCTACTGGAATGCTCAATTCTCTTTAATTTGTTTACCTTTGCATCAGTCTGAATTACAGTAACTGCTTTGAATTATAAGCAATCCCTGCACAAAAGATTAATGGTTTATGTACATTTTGCTTCCACCCACCCCAAATTCCACCACGCCTCTGATGCTGCCCTTCCTGAGGAAACCAAAGACCTCCTCATCTCTAAGTTCATTGAACATCTCTCACGCTTTTCCTAAGTTGACTCCTTTGTGCATCTCTCAATGTTGCTCACTCGCCAAAAAATTGCTCCTGTCCTAGGGTCACCTCTGGCCATGCTTTCTCTGTATCCTCTGGAATCTGGAAACATTGAGGAGCCTGGAAGGGCCGGGTCCTCCACCCTTTTCTCCTTTTTTTAAAATATTTGCCTTCAGGCATCTTATGCATCCCTCATGACTGCTTCATTACCCACATATACTCCAATGACTCAGAAACTCGTGTCTCCAGCTGAGGCATTGCTCCCAAACTCCAGACTAGTGCCACCAACTGCCTTAGGACACTTCTCCTTGGATGTGCCTTGGGCTTCTGACATTCAATTAGTTCAACACTGAGCTCAGCATCCCATTTGTCTCCACGCACCCACCCAACAATTCCCCATCACAGAAAGTGGCACCACCATCTACTCCTCAGCTGCCTAAGCCAGAAAGCAGGTGCCATCCTCTCCCTCACCCTTCTCATCTTCTTAATTACAAAATACAGTGAAACTGACTTATCTATTGCTCAGATCCATCCACCTGGCTTCATCCTCATTCTTATTCCCTTAGACCAGGCCACAGGGTGACAGACACACTCTCAGATTTGCTAATTTCATTCCACCCCCTACCCTGCAGCCAGGATGAACCATCTGAGCTCTTCCTCTGATTGGGGCTGTCCTAGGCTTGAAGTTCTTTATAGCTTCTCTCAGGGAAAAAGACTATCGGACATTAACCTATGCACCATTGCAGATTCTTTCAATTTCTTCATTTCTGAAGAAGCTCAGTTTGGCCATGCATGAACACCCCAAGCTGGTTGGGGCCCAAGTTGAAGCCGTGGGCCTGTCAAGTCTACACACCAACCTCTGCTTTGAGTCATCCCTCCACTTCCAGAATGGGATGAAATGTCGCATGATGGCGCATGACATCTGGCTTCCTAAGCAGCCTCCAAGCACCAGATGCTACAACCCAGAAGTGTGGGGAAATTAACTCCCCATGGATGCTCCCTGAATAAGGGAAAACAGGAGGTAGAGTGTAGCTGGGCAGATTAATTCCTCCTTCTCTCTGTTTTCATGGCCTACTACAAGACAGAGTTTCTTCCCACAGCCTTTCCAGAGCAATCCCACGTACCAGGCAGACTCACCTGCTGAGCCACCTGCTATGCCTCTTTTCGGCTCCTTGTAACCTGGTGGCCACACAGTGGTGTGTGACAGTTTCCTCACCATGCCTGACTTCTTTATTTCCCATACTTCCCTTTTTAACTTACCTTTTAAACCTTGGACTTGCACCTCCCGAAATGTCAGCACTTTAGTTTTTGACTCAGGTTCCACTTTCTGGAGGACCTGGGCTTAAACAAGAGCCGAACTTCTCGGTCACTGCCTACATCACTGACTTCATCTCTTTTTCTATGTACTGAACCCTTTCCTAGCTACCACCCCCTGCAGTGTCACGGATGTGCCACATACTATCTTTCCTCTTCCAGGCCTTTGGATATGACCTCTCGCCGCTCTGCTGGGGAAATCTTAGGTCTCACCTGGGAAGCATTTTTTTACACGACTGTTGCATTGGACTGGTTCATGTACCATGTTTAGATGCCCATGGCACACTGTGCCTTCCTGGGAAAGGGCTCATCCCTCTTGTTTACTTCTTTGTCTTCTCCACCTGGCAGGAAGTTATTCACTATGTACTCTAGCGCCTGCCTCAATGCCTGACACGTAGTGTCCAATAAACATTTGATGAATGATTGGATAAATGAATACATGTTTTCAAAAGGAGACAAATTCCCTGGAAAAGGTATACAAGCAAGAAAATTATGCAAGTGTTCAATTTTTGTCTATGAAAGCTTTAGTATACTTTTTAAAACACTGAAGCATATTACATTCCATTTTTTTTTCTTTCTCACTATGAATCTTCATAGAAGTATGAAGTATGGGGGGCTGAGGCAGGAAGCTCATTGAGTCTGGGACGTCAAGGCTTCCGTGAGCCCTCTTGGTGCCACTGCACTCTAGCCTAGGCAACAAAATGAGACCCTGTCTTAATAATAATAATAATAATAATAATAATAATAATAATGAAATAGCCAGGCTCAGTGGCTCATGCCTATCATCCCAGCACTTTGGGAGGCCTAGAAAGGAGGGTTGCTTGAGGCCAGGAGTTCAAGACCAGCATGGCCAACATGGTGAAACCCCATCTCTACAAAACACCTTAAAAATTAGCCAGATGTGGTGGCACATGTCTGTAGTCCCAGCTACTCAAGAGGCTAAGGTGAGAGGATCACTTGATCCTGGGAGGTCAAGGCCATAGTGATCCCTGATCACACCACTGCACTCCAGCCTAGGCAACAGAGCAAGACCTTGTCTCAAAAATAAATAAATAAATAAATAAAATAAAAAATAAGACAGTAAGGAGATGTATTCTTACCTAACTGGAAGCAGTGGCACCATCAGTAGCTGAAAGATGTCATCAGATACTTAGCTATCTCCATCTCTCCACTCCATCTTTCTCACGATGGTGTAAGCCTAGTTTCCAAGTGCCTCATAATAACAAGACGGTTGTCAGTGGCAACTGGAGCTACATACTTCTTTGTTCTCAACTACCTGGTGAAAAATGGAAAAATCACACCTCTAAGTGTGTAATATAAATGTTTCCTTAATTTTGACTGAACCACTCCTAATCACAGGACCAATGTGTGATGGAGGCAGGTGACGGGGGAATGGCACCTGCTGATAGCCTCCTTAAGATTCACTCCTGCTGGGTGTGGTGGCTCACACCTGTAATCCCAGCACTTTGGGATGCCGAGGTGGGCAGATCACAAGGTCAGGACATCGAGACCATCCTGGCCAACATGGTGAAACCCCGTCTCACTAAAAATACAAAAATTAGCCGAGCATTTTTTGTATGGTAGCCGGTGCCTATAGTCCCAGCTACTCGGGAGGCTGAGGCAGGAGAATTGCTTGAACCAGGGAGGCGGAGGTTCCTGTAAGCTGAGATCGTGCCACTGTACTCCAGCCTGGCGACAGAGTGAGACTCTGTCTCAATTTAAAAAGAAAGAAAGAAAAAAAAAAGATTTACTCCTAGAGCCTTGGTCGCATTCCTCTAAGTCTTGGGACAATTAATACTTGGTCAGAATCGGAGTTGTGTTAGGAAGAAAGACACAAGTGAATGGAGATGGGACAATCAGTAGTGTTCGCCCCAGGTACTATTGCTCTCAGAAAATATGGAGATGCCTCTTTTTTCATATTTTAAAAAACTTCTCAATTTTTAATTTTTTTAAGTTTTAAATTTTTGGAAATAATTATTTTGTTTTGTTTGTTTTTAGAAAAAGGATCTCACTGTGTTGCCCAGGCAAGAGTGCTGTGGCATGATGATAGCTTACTGCAGCCTCCAATTTCTGGGCTCAAACAATCCTTCTGCCTCAGCCTCACAAAGTGCTGGGATTACAGGCGTGAAAGAGGATTAATTCTAGCACATTACATTGTCGTTAGAAACTATATTACCAGATGTAAGAAATAAAATAAAATTACATCTTCATATGTATATTTTATATATTTATAGCTAGCATTTATTGAGTGATTGCTTTGTGCCAGATACTATACTATACAAAATACATATATTTTGCATATTTATAGATAGCATTTATTGAGTGATTGCTTTGTGCCAGATACTATACTATACAAAATACATATATTTTGTATATTTATAGCTAGCATTTATTGAGTGATTACTTTGTGCCAGATACTATACTGTACAAAATACATATATTTTGCATATTTATAGATAGCATTTATTGAGTGATTGCTTTGTGCCAGATACTATACTATATAAAATACATATATTTTGTATATTTATAGCTAGCATTTATTGACTGATTGCTTTGGGCCAGATCTGACTTTGTGCCAGATAATCACTCAGATACTATTGAGTGATTGCTTTGTGCCAGATACTACCCACCATTTCCATCAGCCTTCAAAAATACCCTCATTTATTTCATCAGAAAATACTTATGAAGCCCCTACCATACTTCAGACACTATCTTGTCACTGGGAATATAGCAATAGCAGGAAAAGACCAAGACCCATCCCCTCATGGAAACTACATTCAAGAAATAGGAAAGTGTGGCTGAGAGGGATTGAGTGAGTTGCTGAAAATTACAGAGCTTGAAAGTGGCAGACTCGAGATTTGAACCTGAGAAGTCTAATCTAACTCCAAAGCTAAGAGTGGGTGTATTAGTCTGTTCTTGCACTACTGTAAAGAAATACCTGAGACTGGGCAATTTATAAAGAAAAGAGGTTTAATTGGCTCATGATTCCTCAGGCTTTACAGGAAGAATACTGGCTTCTGCTTTTGGGGTGGCCTCAGGAAATGTACAATCATGGCAGAATGTGAAGGGGAAGCACGCACATCTTACATGGCCACCGCAGGAGGAAGAGAGAAATGGGGGAGGTGCCACATAGTTTTAAACAACCAGATCTTGCGAGAACTCACTCACTATACTGTACCAAGTGGGGGATGGTACTAAACCATTCATGAGAAACCCGCCCTCATGATCCAATCACCTCCCACAGGTCCCACCTCCAGCATTGGGGATTGTAATCATTCCAGTTCTCAGCCAATGGCAGGCTATCTTCTTTCAAGCCTCGACTTTTCAGGGGAGAGCTCTCTGGGGCCTGGAGGAGGCATTGCTCCGGGGTCAGGCACCATGCCCCACAGTGGAATCCCTGCTTGAGAGCACCCAGAACGATGAAGGACAGCCTGCAAGCCAGGGGAGGGTCCACTCAAACCAAGGGTGTACAGAGTAACCTGCATAAGCACTGAGGCCCCAGGAGAGATTTGCACAGGAGATGCAGGTGCCCAGTATGATCAGTCCCTCTCCCGACACCTCCAGCAATCATTTGCAGTAACTGAAGTTAACATTACCTGTTACTTTGCTTCTGGGAAACCAGTGTGCACAACCTCCTTACAGGAAATAAGGGTTTGGATGGGCATGGTGGCTCACACCTGTGATCCCAACACTTTGGGAGGCCAAGGCAGGTGAATCACCTGAGGTAAGGAGTTCGAGACCAGCCTGGCCAACATGGTGAAACCCCATCTCTACCAAAAATACAATAATTAGCCAGGTGTGGTGGTGCACACCTGTAATCCCAGCTACTCGGGAGGCTGAGGCAGGAGAATCACTTGAAACTGGGAGACGGAGGTTGCAGTGAGCCGAGATCATGCCATTGCATTCTAGCCTGGGCAACAAGAGTGAAACTCCGTCTTCGAAAAAAAAAAAAAAAGAAAGAAAGAAAGAAAAAGACAAAGAACAAAAGAAGGGTTTGTGGCATGTAGTGGGGTGAGACTTTCAGACTTCTGAGCAGGAACCTAAACTGATCGAAGAATTGCACATATTAAAAATGCCTGGTCCCTGTCATATTGTAATAATCCGTGACCTTAAATTTAAGTATTCAACTTTCACCAGGTTATTTTGAATTTGAGTTCTGCTAGATAGAATCAAACCTATGTAATGCTGGGCGCGGTGGCTCATGCCTGTAAATCCCAGCACTATGGGAGGCCGAGACAGGTGGATCATTGAGGTCAGGAGTTCAAGACGAGCCTAACCAACATGGTGAAACCCCATCTCTACTAAAAATATTTTTAAAAAATTAGCCAGGCGTGGTGGTGCACGCCTGTAATCCCAGCTACTCAGGAGGCTGAGGTAGGAGAATTGTTTGAACCCAGGAGGTGGAGATTGCAATCAGCCAAGATCACACCACTGCACCCCAGCCTGGGTGACAGAGGGAGACTCTGTCTTAAAAAAAAAAAAAAAAAAGAATCAAACCTACGTTACTAATTGTTATAGAATCATCTGAATTTGACTGGCTTCAAAAGTGTCTTTCCAATAGGACTGTTTGTTTAATTGGGTTTAATATGTATTTTTCAACCAGTCTTGAAGAAGTTTTCAAGCACCCACTATGTGTCAGGCGCTATGCTAGGCACTGGGTGAATTAAAAAGGCATAGTCTGATACTCGGAAGCAGACTCAGAGATAAAGATTTTTGTGAAAATGATTTATGAAGGCAGTGTCTCCTGGGAACACTGGGCAAAGGAAGACTAGGGGAACAGGGCAAAGCAAGAGGAGGAAGCCCACCAGAGTGGTGATCTCAAACCAAAGGCCAGATTCCACCTGATCCTGCAGGGAGCTCTGCAGAGTCAACTGCATCTCAGGGTTTTTCCTGACTCAGGATAAAGGAGCTGGGCTTTCATTCTGCTCTGTTAGCAGGTCCTTGGTTACAGGCTACCCCAAGGGGATAAAAGCACTCAGGCATTTCTGGCCCTCTGCACAAGGAGAGCAGAGCCTCTCTGGGAGGC